AAAGTTTTATTGACAAACAGCCACTCTGTTCCTTTCCATGTTGTCTGTGGCCAAGAGAGACCACATATGGGTCAGCAAAGACAAGAATATTTACTATTCTGCTGTTCTCCAGCGCCAGCTTGCTGGTCCCTGGTACAGACCTTAGAACCAGATTATCTACCTTGAAATCCTAGATCCCCCGCTCACAAGCCACTTCCTCTGTCTCTCTCTAAAGGGGGCACAACAGTCCTTATTTCAAAGTATTTTTGCCAAGAATTCGAGTGATCATTTTCCAACTCTTAGACAAGTGCTTGGCACACTAGGTGGTTTGTAGGCGTCTTTCTGTGACTGCGATACCCAATGGGGTTAAGGAGAGGGGTTGAAGAGAAAAGGGTTACTTTGGTTCCTATCAGGCAGACCTTTTGCTTTTAGGCCTCTGACGAGGGGCAGCACACTGTGGCGGGGTGTGTGGCACAGCAAATTTGCTTGCTACAAGGCCAGGAATAAGCGAGAGCAAGGAGGGACCCTGGGCCTGCAGTCTGCAGCAAGGACCTCCCCCCAGTGACCTAGAGCCCGTGCGCCAGGCCCTCGCTGGTCCATCGCCTCCCGAGAGCACCAGCCTTCAACACGGGGGCTTGGAGAGACATTTGAGATCCAAACCGTGGCCCGTGGGTAACATAATTCTCAGCCCGCCGACCTAATCCAGAATCTCTCTAAATTCCCCAGCACCACTGCCTTCGTTCCCTGGTGTACGCGGTGTGGAGATCCCCCAGAGCTCTTTCCAACGGGCGCGCAGAGCAGCACCTCAAAACTGTCATGTCACTTCCTCAACTTCTCATCTCTGCTCCATATGCTGACAGACTCAGGAAGCCACGGCTCAGGCTTCTCAAAGCCCAGATGGGTCCTAATTTGTTACGTTGGAGGAGAAAAAAGTCTGTGTTCCCTGGCAGATGCACGGGGACTGTTTTTGTTAGTCACATCTGCCACCTTCTTGCTTTTCTGCATGAAAAGAACTTTTTTTTTTTTTCCAAGCTCTATGGATCTCGCTTCCGAAGCACAAAGCAGAATGCTGAGGTGTGCGCTTCCCACCTGGCCGAGGCTCCACCTGACTCTCAGCGCCAGGACTCTAGGAGGAATAGAGTTCCTCGCTATGGGGAGGAGGCTGATAGCATTAGAACAGCGTCCCCAATACATTCACTTTTTCCAAGATAGAAAGCCAAGGATGTGCACATGCCTGCCCCCCGGGCTAACGCCATTCCCCAGCCTTCTCGGGGCCACAGCATGGTCAGGTGGCTAAGTAGACTCCACACTGCCCCATGCTGGACTGAGTGCGGGCTACAGGGACTACTTTTTCTTTTTTCTTTTTTCTTTCTTT